TACCCAATTGAACCTAATAAATAATGTGATAAATCAGAATAATAGAGATATTACAATTAAAAAATTAAGTATTATCCCAACCGCCATTACTTTTGGCTGGGACTGTATATAATATATTATATATTAATTTATATAATAAATCAATTAAAGGTCTGGTAGTCCTATCTTAGTTGATAACAAATGAGATACTATTGTAAGTTACATTATAATAAATCCTATTTTAACTTCTAGCTAAGATAGATCATAATAAACTAATTTATGAGATTTATCAGTTTGATTCTAAGAATGAATTTCATAGAATGCATACAAACTATGTATATTAAAGATCACAAATTTGTAGAATAAGATGATCATTTGATAGTTATTTATATGAAGGATGATAGCTCTTATAACATAAGCAGTATAAGGTTATTTCGTTTATTATCACTCTGATAACAGGTAATTGTGGTAAGTAACTTGATGCATAATAAACAGATTGAGTTTGAAACCTATGTTAAGGGGCTGGTCTGTAATGGACAAGTATCACATTATTTGCATAAGGTCTATTTCTGATAATAGAATATGAAAAATAGTAATGATCAGTTATAATTAGTCAATGGTCAGTCAAAGGCCTTTGACTGACTGACCAGTTATATTGACTAGTTGACCAGCCCATATATCAATAATATAATTTAAAGTTCTTGATTGATAATTTTATTTAAGCTTTAAATAATACTAATATGATATTTGTTAAAACTCCAATTTTTATATATTTCTTTTAGGCTAACTTGATATGCTTATGTTTACTTTTCTATTTACAGCATTATCGCAATCTTTTTTTAAAAAAATAAATCAAAAATTTTTATTTATAAAAATTATATAACTAAAATGATTGTTAATTAAAATGCAAAGAAATCTTAGATTACTAATTAAAAATGTTTGATCAACTGGTTAGTCAAAATCGGTCAAAATTAGTCAGTCAACCGGTAGATCAAAAATCTTTGACTGACCGATATTAGTTACGATTATGACTGATCATGACTGTAACTATTAACATCAATAATAGATACTGTATAACTTGAAATTGAATAATAGTCTAGATTATAGGTAGTTGATATTGCACTATCTTCATCCATCGTGGTATTTTAGCATATTCTAAGGTATGAGATTAGGTTCGATTCCCAAGTTGTTTGACAGTATGGTGAGCTTATCTAGTTTGATGGACCTTAAAAATTAGGACTTGCTTGACCTCTCATTTAGTAGAAATGTGAATCCTAACAACATTGGGTTGCCAAGGTTAGATGGCTAGTTTGCCTGGGATTGGATCTGCTTCCATGTTAGGGTCATCGATATAGCAATGGTAAACGATCCCAAAAAGAGCCACAGGACCTTACTCTGACTCATAATGGTAGTAAATCTGGGGGGTTTTCAAGTTTAGACCCTTAGTAATCTCATGATTTTGTCATGCTACTATAGCATTAAAAAAAAATCAATTATAATTAATATATTTGCTATATTAAATATATCAACAATATTGAATGTCAAAAATATGGAAATATTAGATATATTAGATATAAAATGTATTAAGGAAAAAATTATATGTTATAACAACTTTAAAAATACAATTAATACTAAATTTAAAGTGATTACATTGATATTTTAGTTAAACAATATTTATAAATATATCAAAAATATTTATAGATTATATTAAATAAAATTTATTTAAGAACAATAATAAATAAGAAATTTAAAAAAAGAATTTTTTTAAAAAAAAATAAAAATTTAAACGTGTGAAATCATTATTTATATTAAATTTATTAATTTTGTAATTATTACATTGTAAAAGAAGAATATGAATAAGAAACGATAAACTCCTGAAAAACAATTTTTATTTTTATTATATAAAGCATGATGAAAAAAGGCCATCATATTTATATGGAAGGCTAGTATTTTTGGTTCTCAAATGTGAAAGAAAGCATTAGTATGTAAATAAAAAAAACAATATTTGCTTGATATGAGAAATTCCACTTGATAAAGAATCAGATACGATATTCTGAGAACGTATTCATTTATTTGTTTGCCTATATTTCGAGCTTTTTTTTACATTTTATTATTTGACATGTGATGTATAATCAATAACGTCACAAAGTTTATATATTTTTCCAAATCTTTATTCAGATCCTTGTAATTTACTTAATTTACTTACTTATTAAATAAAAATAATGACGAACTATGCAAATATCCTTACGACAAATTACAACCTTAGGATGAGAAAGTGGTAGATTTGAAATATATCGAATGAAAAATTGTCATAATAATTAGTCATATTCACTAACTTCACCTTTTTGGTATTTACATAAAGGTTAAGCCTTGCATCGACACATTGTGTTAATAAATATTCTAATGGTGTCTTCCGGGTAGTACCAGTCGTTGGAGTCGGAATCGACGGCTGAGTCGATTCTGCAAAATCCGAATGGAAGTCGACTCCGAAATTTCAAATGACAAATTCGCTGTTCCAAATTTGATATAATCGATTGAATCATAGTCAAATTGCAACATTAATTAAATTTGAAAAAGATATTAATAATAAATTATGGTTCTAATTTCAAATGATAAATCGCGACGGTTGAGTCGATTGAAAAAGTGCACGGCAGAAGAATGTTGTTTTCTGATGAAATTTGAAAGAATCTATTTGGAATGGATTCGTGAGGAACATGAAAACAATGTAATGTATGTCCTTTGATGTTAATAAAACCAATTAAATATTTTAAATAAAAAAAATATGATGAATCAATCTGCTTATTTTAAATACAATACATTTATTAAAATAAAAATAGTTAGAATAGGTTTATTTTATAAGAAAACATACATTGCATAACATTTTCCAGAACATTACTTGAAGTATTATTGTTATTTCGCCAAGTATAACGATGCCTTGGGTGAATTTACACCTAAATCAAATTAATATTTCATGTAAAATAAAAGATAGGTTCACTGTAACGCCTGATGATGTATCTGTTATATAGCCCTAATTTATTGACTTTTCTGATTCCAATTGAAAGAGCTTTAAATTAAAACCCATTGAGAAAGCGTATACTGCGCCACATTACTGTGTCCAATTTGTTTGCGCACATCGAGATTATACTGTGGTTTGTAAGTGTGTATTATTATTTTATTATGCTTGGATAATTGATATTCATAAATGGACCATCCGAACGATAAGATAATGTCTACACGTTGGATTATTTAATTCTTGACTTAATTTTTGTTCAATAATTTTTTCCAATGCCATTAATTGAATTGTTCTCTCCATTTTTATAGGATAATTGATTTTACCATTTTTTTTGGCGGATGAGTCGCGAATAAAATAATGTTCTAGATTTATGGTTACGTCTAAATGCGACTTTATTGTGAATTATGAATAGAGTTGTTCGGGCATATACGACTTAAATTTGAAGGTGAAAGGTAAATTTCCTTTGAAGGTGTCAAAACCTGGGTTTTATTATTTTAATTATAATCACATGGAGATATGTGAATCCATAGTTAAATTTATGATGAAACTTTGATAAGAATTGAAAGAATTGAAAAGGTTTGCTTATCCAACGTCCGAATTTTTTTTTTTTTGCATTATGATACTGCGCCAACTTAGCAAATTGTTCAAAATAATAGCATAGCGGTTTAAAAAAAAAATAAAAAATTAAATAAAAATTAAAAAAAAAAAAAGGAAGTCGATGAATCTAGGTAATTGAAGAATTCGTACACAAAATCAAAGTACACATTTTTTGGAATCACCAAATCATGAAGATATCTTTAAATTGAATAATAAATCTTGAATATTTGATCCAAATTTTTTTACGAGGTTTTTGATTTGTTCGATTTATAAATGATTGACATTTGGTGTCAAAGATTTCCCCATACAAGTTTCCAATAAATTTGTATTGTGATTAATGAAAATTGGATCATCTAAAAGAATTAATAAATAAAGAAATTTATTTTTAGGTTTATGTAATTGTGGAAAAAAATACAATTTTCAAACTTTCCATATTAATGATAAATATTTTGATGGAAGTAACAAAACATCGGGGAGTTGTATATTATTGAAAAATGAGAAGGCAAAATCATGCTTTGTTTATTTCATCATTTATTCGCTTACTAATCGTGCCGAGTAATTTCTTATTATAGTTAGTCTCTTATATATAATACGAGGTAATTAAAGAACGTAACTTAGGTTTTTGATTATGAATCGCGTTTTTTTAATGTAGTTTTATTAGTTATGACATTTTTATATTATTTTAATATTTTTCTTTACACGACGTGAATGATAACCCAAGAAAACCTTACAAACTAACCTTAAACTATAATTTTTTAATATACAAAAAAAAAAAAAATAAAAATAAAAATAAAATAAAATAATATCTAATTACAAATAAAGAAATATTATGCAACGCATAATATCTTGGATAACCTTTTATTCTTTTTTAAATTTCCAAAACTGTTCCTTTTTGTATTCATTTCACAACCATTCACGCTATTAATACAACTAGAATTATTCTGTACAGCGGAAGAATTTTCGTCTATACTGTCATAATCATCATCAACATCATTATATGCGATTTCGCTCCCATTTTCAGCAGTGATATTATTTAACTCACTATTGTTGATCGGGCAATCATCATACGGAATATGTGGTCTCAAACAAACATATTCTACCGACTATCATCAAAGAACGAGTTTAACGTTAATAAAAAATTTTTCTTTAAAAAAAAAAAAAGATGAATTTTTGAGTGGATACTTACGAAAGGACCTTTAACGGATGAAGATTTGGTGATATTTTCGGTGTAACATTTGATTCCAGTGTGTACTTGATATCTTCTATCCTCAGAATTTTCGATCTTTGAAATCTCAATTTGATAAGGAAGGCGAAAATGAAACCATCCTTTATCAAATACTTTAACAAGTTCTTCCGGGTCTGGCGAATATTTATATTTAGCCTCACGTTCATATGAGTTTAGATAAATGTCATGCCTCAACCATATATCTGTAGAAAAATTCACAATTGGTCTCTCTGTAGATTTATCAATCTTCATACGCCAAATAATATCATAAATGCCAGGCGGCACATTGCTTATCGTAATTTCAATCTAAAAAAGTCGGATGAAAAAAATTATCAATATTTTTGTTGTAAACTTGAGAAATAATATTAAACTTTTTAAAACTATCTTACATTGAAAGAACGTTGTTTTTGTTTCATCCTATTGCTGTTGATTTAAAAAAAATAAGAATAAATTTAGATGATGCAGCGTAACCCCATGAAAAAAAAACTTTGTTCAAAACTCATTGGGACGTTACCTAGGCTCATTCTCCTTATGATCAAAATATCTGTAACGGTAGAAAGTCCCAGGTCTACCCCTTGAGAAGGCGGTTTTGGTTTTAACCTTGACAGTTGATAGACGCATGTAGACTTTCTTCCAATCCGGTACCGAAGAAATCTGCTTATTTTTTGTACGCTTCCATTTTCCTTTACGATGATTGTTTATTAACAACCTATCTTGATGATTTTGTATAGCAATTTCACCGTACTGGCTCAATAAGATTTGACGCCATAAGTAATTGTCATGTGTGTGAGCTCGAAGTTTTCTGTTGACCATAGACAGCGATAAAACGTCATTAACTTCCAAGTTATCCATAATATTAATCATAATTTCATGAGGGACTTTGGCAAAACCATCATACCCTGGTATGCTCTTCACATTATCATTTTGTTGGTGTTCGTTGTTTTCTTCTTGTTGTTGATTTGAACAACAAGCTTCTTTTATATTATCATCCTTATTTTTAATTAAAGATCGATTGTGTTGTTTATAGAAATAATTGGTTGTCCACGTATGAAATTGAAGACGCTTTTTTGTAGACAAGGAAGAATAAAGTATTATCGATAATCCATTTTGTTGTTGCATAATTTCATATCGAATTTTTCGTAATTATTAAATTAAATGTTTTTTTTTTTTTTACAAAAAAAGAATTGTTAAAAAAAAGATGAAAAAAAAAATTGCCCTTTATGTATTTTTTTTTTTTTTTTTGAAAAAATTTTTTTTTGGGGGTAAGGAGAAAAAGGAAGAAAAGAATGAGATAGTATTTATTTGTATATCAATTTTGTTGTTAATCTGGGATACCTTTTAAACAGATTTACACAATAAATAGCTTAATTTATTATTATTATTATTTTTTGTTCAAAACTGTATGACAGTTTCAATAGCAAAGATACATGTATTTTGAACCAAGAAATATGGATCAGTTATTACAAAATTACGGTACGGACCTTTTTTAAAAGTTGCACAGTGGGTGATTGGGACATCTAAATAAAAATGCAAAACGGGGTAAATCGAAATGTAAGAATTTATTTTATTTTTTTTTTTTTTATTAACATACATGTAAATTAACAGAACGTCCCAATCTTTAAAAATTTTTGATGCGGTGATTTCTCCTAAATTAAAAAAAATTTTTTTTTTTAATAAAAAAAATAAAAATAAAGGTGTTATTTGTTATTTGTTATTTTTTTTTTTTTTTTTTTTTTTTTTAAAAGGTAACAGAGTAAAATATAACATAACACAAGATTCCTTAATAATTTTTTTTTTTCGATCGAAAGAAAAAAAACAATTCCATAAGCAAAAAAATAAAATTAGTTTACAAAAATTGTAACCAAAAGCCTAGACTCGATGATTAAATTTAGGGTAACCAAAAATAGTCGAACATAAACTGATAAGAAAAAAAAAGCGTTTTGTAATCTCTCACTTTATAGGATTTGAATGAAAAAATACATTATTATTATTTTATTTTATTTCGCGATACATCATTCACACCAAAAGTTATTATTGTCAAATTATTAAATTGTTTGTGAGACGATATATATCAATTTCCTTAATAAAATCAGTCCCTCTTTTTTTTTTGAAATATCATAAAAATAAATAAATAAATAAATAAATACAAATAAATGGATTTTGTTTTAATGAAGGGCTCCGAACAAGCTCCGAATGGTTATTAGCTAATCGGGATATTTGATTTTTTTCTTGTGCATTTATGGAATATTCCACACTTCTTTATTTTACAAATTAATTCGAATCTTTACCCTTCATTCTCTTACCTAACTTTTGACACTAATCGGCAAGCAGGCCATTTAATTATATCATCGATATTATCATACACATGCTCCGGACCCTTACTTATGAAATAATGTGCCCCTAAAAATATCATCAAATTACTTCATTTTTAAAGATTTCTGCTTTGGTGTGGTGCCAAGCAACTATTTGTCAATGTCATTCTATATGAAACGGATGTCATTCCAATTTCAAGAATCAAATGCAATCCCAATAAAACCCTTTTTCTATTTGTAGCATCTAGAGAATCTTTTTACGTAATAATAAAAACGTCCGTCTTAAACCCTTTTATTTGTAACATCATCCTAAGAATTTTACATATATAAAAATCAATGTGCCAATTATACAATGTATTACCGAGAAGATCATAGCCTTCATAGGAATAAACGGCGTCTCAAAGAGCGTATTCTGGTTGTTTCATTTTACGGAATTCATTAACAAGTTTGGTAATTCATGAAAGAGTTTGAATAACGTGCATCACTGTAAGTCTTTGTTTCGATTCAATATTCGTTTACCAAATGGTCAAACTTTAAATATGCAGTAATACATGTTGAATGAATGAAGATTTAGAAAATTTGCAAAAGTTAATCAATATTTGTGATTCTATTTAATGAAAAAAAAAATTGTTAAAACAATGATAATTATTGATTTCGTTTGTTTTTCTATTTTTAGAAAATCCAGCTAAATGAATAATATTTCGTATTAAAGCATCCTATGTCTCTTTTTTTAATTATTATTCACCTGCAAGTTCATGCCCAAGGAATGAAATGATTTGTTTTCATGATACAAATTTGGCACTCGCAAATATTCCATGATTTTTTAAATCTTGGAATCTTTTTTTGGTATTACTAGTTTAAAGGAAGCAACTATGAAAAATTCCAAGATTCTAATCTTGGAATTTTTTTTTTTTTTTTTTAAACAAGGTGGTAACGACAAGAAAATTGCGAAATTTACAGCATGTAAAAGCTGACAAAATTCAAAATAAATTCGCTTATTGGCTTCAAATATTTTTATTATTAATTTAAAAAAAAATAAAATTATACAAAAAGATTATATAAAATACGTAAAAATATATTATTAAGGTATTATGACATACATTTTTTTTTTCATCTTAGAAATATTATTTACGCAAAATCAAAATTATTGATTCCGGTTTGAAAAGGATTTATCTATTATTCCTAATAAAACAAAAAAAAAAGGAATTTCTTAAATTTTGGTTGCGCCATATCCGCTTTTATAAATTACGTAGTTACCTGGGAATTCTAATGGCTTTCTTTACGCTGCTCTTAACCTTTCTTTTCCATTTCTTTAAAATGCTCTTGTTAGTCTTATTACCACTATCATCTTTGGCGACTACGATTTCACCATCACGTTCAGTACTTTCAGTACCTATAATTAAAAAGGAAAAGAATCGTAAATCGAAAACGATCAAGAAATTTAAAAACATTTTGTTTCGATAGAACCCAGGTAATACTTTGATCAACCATTCTACTATCCACAACGGTTGAATTACTGATAGCCATATTTTCCAAAATTTTGGCATCAGCAATTTCAGTCGTTGGAAGAGAAGTTGAATTGCTTGGGATGGTCGATACGTCAATTCCGTCTTGTTTTTTTCCTTCGTCAACATCATTGATGATGTAAGGCTGCAAAGCACTAGGAGAAGGTTGAGCTGATGAAAATCGGTTAATAGATACAGTTGATGATTTTCGTGCTGAGGTATTTGGTGGCGTATCATTAGAATGATAAACTTCAACAGATTTATTGTTTTCGATGATCCCATCATTGTTTAAAGGAGAAATTTGCTCGTTATTGTTTTCTGCTTCAATAACATTGCTTTCACTTTGTTTGGTTTCGGTATCATTAACAACAGTAGAATTGGTTTCACCAAGACCACCAGCAGCAATCTCATTAGAATCTATGGAATTTGCGTCGTCATTGGAAAGTTTGGAAGGTTCAACTGAAGAAGACATTTTACTAGAAGAATTGAGTTTCTGTCTTGTAAGAAGCAAACCATGAGTCGCGATAGGTTTATTGGGTGTAAAAGACGACGAATCATTCATTTTTAGCGTAGGATTTGATTTTAATTGTTTAAAATCCATTTTTTTTTTTTTTTAAAAAAAAAAAGAAATAGATCAAGAAAGAATATCAAATGGTTTCCCTTTAAGATAACCAAAAAAAAAAAAAAATTTAAATACTCCATAGTTTATTTGATCATAATATAATAAACTATTTGACTCGATAAATCTATCAAAAAAAAAACTCTTACATATTGCTGCTGCGCCGTTAATTTTATATAGATTAACTAATTAAAAAATATTGTTTGCCTAACTAAAATGGAAAATTGATTATGTGAACCATCAGCCGATGATTACACACAAACTTTGTTGTTACCTCAAATAGTATCACATGATTTGTGTTTTTCTTTTCAAAAGCGAAAGGATGATCGGCAAAACGTGCGCATTTACCCTGCTGTACTACTTGATGACAAACCCAAAATTGGATTATAAAAAAATTTTTCTTTATAATAATAATAATAAAAATGTCATATATGAGAAAAATACCTGTTCGAACAATATCTTTCTTAACAAGTACGTTAGTAGGAATTTATTTAATCGATGATAAATATAATGCGCGAACTTTACAAAGAAATAGCTTGACGATTTGGAATGGGTATTAATATTTTATTAAATTTCGTTTTACCACAATTTATTGATTAACATTTTTGTATCTTAAATTTTTTTTTTTTTTTTTAATAGAATATGTATAGGACTAGATTACAAAATTAATTTTCGACCCGGTAAAGGAGATAAAATCGATGAATTGCATGAAAGAGTGGCTCAAAGGATTTTAAGAGTTTGTAAGTCTAATGGGTAATGTATTGATTTTGAAATTTTTGATGTTCTAATTAATATTGTGATATATTTATATTATTTTATTTTATTTAGAATAAATTTATTTATTTAATTCTCTTTGAAATCAAATATTTTATTTTAAATAGTGGATTATATATTAAGCTAGGACAAGCCATACAAGTACAATCTGCTATTTTACCACCAGGTGATTCTTTATTTATTTTATTTTATTTTTTTAAAAAAAAAATAATTAATTTTTTTTTAATTCAAATAAAAGCTTATCAAAGAACCTTTAAAACGATGTATGATGACGCGTAAGTGTGAAGTTTTCATTATTCTGATCTCCTGTTAAAATGAAATCATCCAACATATTTTTCTTTTCAAAGACCAGCTGTTGATTTTGATCAGGTGATAAAGATATTTCATAATGATTTTAACTGTCATCCAGACGACATGTTTGATGATTTTGAACGTACTGCAATAGCTTCAGCTAGTGTTGCTCAAGTGCATCGTGCAAAACTTAAAGATGGAACCCCTGTTGCTGTTAAAGTTCAAAAACCAGATATCGGGAAACAGATGGTAAATACTTAACCTTTTAGATGTACGTTTTTAACATATCGTGGAATTATAATTAGATGTTATTATTATTTAGAATTGGGATTTGATGGCTTATAAAATGCTAATGCATGTATACGAATATATTTTTGACCTTCCTCTTACATGGACCGCCGAAACGCAAGACAAACATTTAAGGGCTGAAGGTAATTTTTAAATTATTATATTAAGTTACATCATCCTTTTTCTGATAATTTTTTTTTCCCCCAAAAAGTGGATTTTATAAACGAGGGTAAAAATTCCGAGAAGGCAAAGAAACATTTTGTGAGCATTAGATCTTTAAGGGATAAGGTTTACGTTCCTAATGTATTTTGGGATTATACAAGCTCCCGAGTTTTAACCTGTGAATGGATTGATGGTGTTAAAGTCACCGATAAAGAAGGATTAGAAAGGCAAGTATGAACATATATGAAAGATTGTCATACTTTTATATTAATCTTCTTTGAATTTATTATTAGATATGGTTATAAATTAAACGATGTGATGAAAACTACAATTGATATCTTTGCGTCACAGATTTTCCTTACTGGTAAGCTAAAAATGCGTGACCGTTTTATTAAAGAATTATGAATATTACATTGCTTGATTTTTAATTACATTACGATCGTTATTTTAGGTTTTGTACATGGTACGTTGAGTTCTTTTGTTGACTCTTGTAATAGATCGAGATCGGTCATTAACATGTAACTATGATTTATAGCTGATCCGCATCCAGGTAATGTATTTGTTAGACCTCATCCTAATAGATCAAAGAATTATCAGATTGTCTTGATTGATCATGGATTATACGTGGAAGAATCTGTTGTCTTCCGTCATCAATATTGTTTATTCTGGAAATCGGTAAGTACCTTAAAGGATGGTAGAATTTTAATTACAGATTTGATTTGTATCATTTGCATTACTCATATTTCTCTTTACTATTTTTTTTTTATAAACAAAAAATTTCAGCTATTTATGATGGATACTGATATGATTAACCAAATATGCCAGGAATGGGGTATAAACGAACCAGAAATGTTTGCGAGTGCAACGTTAATGAAACCGTATAAGCAAAAGACGGCACTTCACATCTCTTCCAATCAACGTATGACTATGCAAGATGCATATAAGCTGCAAATGGTATTAAAGGAGAGAATAAAAAAATTTTTATCAGACACAGAGTTAATTCCAAGAGAATTAATTTTCGTAGGAAGAAATATGAATATAGTGAGATCACTTAATAGAGAATTGGGCAGCCCAGTAAATCGTATAAATGTCATGGGAACCTGGGCGGTAAAAGGGTTAGGTTCGGATTGGTCAAATTGGGGTGGTAATGCAAAAACTTTTGACGAGAAACATCGGCAATTAATAGATAAAGGAAATAGTTTCTCCGGATTTTTCGGGCAACTTTCTTTTATATTACAAAGCAGGTTTAATTATTGGTTATTTAGAGGTACCTTATTAATGATAAGTATAGGATTCTATATTACTAAATTAAAGGAGTCTATTGGAAGTTTGATATATGGTAGGGGCAATTCAAGAGGGTTTGAAGATATCTTGGATGATAGATTGAAACAAACTATTGAAGAAAATCTTGGTATTGTGCTTGATCAAAATGTTTTTGAAGGATAAATTTATATTTTATTTTTGAATATTATCTTAAAGAATATTGAATAGTAAATGACATTCTTAAAATGTATTCTTGCAAACTACAAATTATGTATTTTTGTAATTATTAGAAAGAGTTTTTATTTAAATTAATTATCAACCGTTCCTTTAATTTAAACGTTCCTTTAAATTATTCCATTTATTTTATTCGCTTTTAAAATTCATTGTAGTTAATATAATCCAGATTGAATTCATTAAAGCTTAACACCTTTAACCTTATCACCAATTACTCCAACTGCTGCATCATCAGCATTATCAATCAAAAATCCATCAATTTTTTTAGCAATTTCTATGCTCAATCCTTCTAATTTATCTTTATGATTTTCTCTAGCGAGGAGACTAACCACTACCCATCTTTTATCACCAGACCACTTAGGGTAACTACCAATTTTAATTCCCAAATCCTTAACCTTTTCGTGCATCTCAGTTAATACGGGGGCAATAAAACCTTCAGGACGATAGGTTTTAATAAATTTTCTGTAAAATTTTTCACCATCTTTACCGGTTTGCCTCACTTTTAAGTACTTACTAAAAGCGAATAATAAACTATTGAATAGTTGAGGAATACCGGGTAATATATGAATATTACCATTTACTATCACTATTGGAACCCATAATGTTTTGTTTGGGTATACAATTACAGATGGATTAGGAAATAATGCCATTCGTTGATTTGCATCAACCACCTCCTGACTTTGTTTCGACATCATGATCTTTAACGATGGTGTGTTATTCGTGAAATCTTTCATACGATCAAGCGTTTGTTGATGAAGGGTTAATGAAAGATTAAATGCTTTAGCGATCGTAGGGTACGTTATATCATCATGCGTTGGTCCTACAAATGATGAATTAAAGAAGGTGATTATGGTTTTTTTTTACCTTTTCTTTGAGGAATCTGATTCAAGTTACCTATTCCTCCACTAGTAACAACAAAGTCAAAATTTTTACTAAGTCGTCTCACAGTTTCAATAATTGTCTTTTTTAAAATAAGATATTAAAGATTAGGAAACTGAATCACGTTAACCATCACGTTGAAAAAAAAAATTAGATAAATTAAATCATTTGTACATCTTCCTCATCCGGTATGACTTCAATTCTCTTTAAATCGATTCCATGTTCATAACAAAATCTCGCTAAATAAGAAAAGGAAGGAACAGATTATTAATTCTAGCAAAAAAAAAAAAAAAAAAAACAAGGAAAAAAAAATTTTTTTTTTTCTACCTACCAAAAGAAGCGGAATTTGTATCGACCGTTTTCCCATTAAGAATTTCGTCACCAATAATAAGACAAGCGGCAGTTTTTGGATAAGGTTCGAATTGTGTTTCCGTGATGGGTGTCGTAGGTAGGAGGTAAGCGTTTTCTTTTTCTGATTTAATTTGTTCTAATCGTCTTTTCCGTTCTTCAGACATTGTGTGAGTTGTAACGTGAAATTTTCTATTATAACAATTATTGCTGATTAACGATGCAATCTTAATATTCCTTTTTATTATTTGATTCTATTATAAGAAAATGACAATAAATACATAAACAGTAAAAATTAAAAATAATAAATAAAGTTTATAGGGTAAAAGAACTTTTTAAAAAGCCTACGGGAAGTAATTGACCGAATCTTGTACAAGATCGAAATAACATTTCTTAAATAAAAAAAAGGGGGGATGTCTCATTTTATTTTAATAAATCGGATAATCTTATCCAAATCAGAAATTGATCAAGATTGTAACACCTTTGTCATAATTTGTTTATAGCTTTGTATTAAATAGGATTAATAATGTATAAACTTTTTGGTTATTTTTAGTTTAATAAAATATATTTTTATGAATTAATATATTTATATATTTATAATATAAATATATTAATGTGATATAAATATCCATATTTATGTTCAATACTGAATGTTTTTTTTATCTTAATTGCATTCAATTCAAGAAAAGATTAATCCTTCACATCCACCAAATTACTATAATCCGATAAGATGCCTTTTCTCTCATCTTGCATCAATTCATCCCTTATCTCTTCCAAGATATCGATAAATGGTTTTTTTAAGATTTCCTGATCGTTATCGTTCACGATACTTTTGGAGCTTGAGTATTCACCATATTTTAAATTGCAACGACATGTTTCTTGTGTAAAGTAAATAGAGGAGTTACGAGTTGAGAAAAGCAGATGTTTAAGTCGTATATGTTGTGAGAATTTGTTGTATAATAATTTGCGCAAGATACTTTCAGAATTGTCGTGTTTCGTGATTGATTTCAAAATAATTTCATTGTCAGGAGACAAATCAGTTAATTTCATTTGACGTTTCGCAACATTGTCTAATAACATTAAGGAATTGATTTAAATTAATCTGTAAATAAACAAAAAGAGAAAGAAGTCTTGAATAATAAGTATTATTTTTCACTTACAGTACTGCTTTGCGTTAAGCCAAATTTTATCATCAATTTTCATTGCTGCTGGATAAGAAAAATTGAATTCATGGTAACAGATGGGTCGTTTCTTATGAATCTCCTCGTTATAATTACTCTAATTGTAGATTATTTTAGTTCATTTGATCGTTATGCTTTTTAAAATATATATTAGTATATACACGATCGGCAATAAAAATGAATATTTTTAACCTTGTCAAAGTATGACATTATTTGTGAGACGACATTAGAAATTTCAACGCCTTGAATGCATGCCGTAGCCTTAACAGCTTTAAATTCTTCATCGATCCATGGACGTGACCTTTCATATACATTAAACCAAATGATAACGATATCCAAGGTTTTTTGATCAAAGAGTGTTCGAAGACGTTTTAACAAAGCTGTAACTATGCATATCGGAAAGATGGGTTTCGAAGTGAGAACCACATTGACATTATAATTATATGCCCAACAATTGACGACGACTTCATTAACAAGTCTAACGATTGGTGTGATGTTTATGTGATCTTGAAAGTCATGAAATAAAGCTTGAAATCCGTGCGAGTTACATTCTTCATTTGAAAAATTCTTGCTAAGGTCATAATTGAATGAAATGAACAAAGCAACGTTACGAATTGGTTTCGATTGCCTGATCGTGATAAATTTATCATCTGGTAAGTTCGAAAAATCAAGAAATTGATCTTGAATGGATGGATCATTCATTGTTTTCTGTGTGAAGTTATTACATTGTTCCCTTCCACGATTATTATCAAAATTTGTAGCAATGAAATGTTTCATTTCCAATGAGGCATTGTGGAGGTGAAGGTCATGATTTTCTTCAACATCCAATTTTGACAAAACCTTTGATTCAATCTCTTTGATTGAATTGTTATCACATGAATTGATGATGATGGTTTTTTGTTCGTTGCATTGTCCTACAATACGAAGGAACATAACTTATTTTAGCAATAGTACAAAACAATCACAAAAGCATTGGGAAATAAAATGATCACCATATTCATCATCGGTATGGTTCTCATTTTGAGGATCATACGAAGAAGAATCCATCAAGAGCAAACAAAAAAAGATAGAAATTCAAAAAAAAAAAAAAAAAAAAAAAAAAAACGAGAAAAAGGTTTTTGAGGGTTGATCGACATAAACAACCTGCTTCAAATAATTTTTAATTGTTCTGACGTAATTTATTCTCACATTGCGACGAAAAAAGTAATTGAAACAAGTAAGCACCTTGTTTGATTTGTTTGACTGAATTTTATTCCATAAAGAAGGTATGTTGATATTTCACTGTATTTTTGTTACTCCGACTACATTAAACATTTGTATTTTTGCGCCCTCATAATTTTTACTTTTTTATTGCTATTTTTAAAATTTTTATATACATCAATTAACTAAGATTATTATTGATTGTGTCACACGCTTAAAAGGCCGTCACAATAGTTGATTTTAAAACTTTTAATTTTCTGTTATAAATCACCATTGTAATTCTTATAATCAAATTAATTTTTTAGTTAGAATTCAAAAGTAATCAGCCTCATTAACCCAGTATTCATCTTCAACAGAAATTTCTTTCGTTCGTACATATTGAATGGCAAATCCATCATTTTTTGGATCCACCTTAGCTTCGCGTAAGGTTCAGGTTTGGGAAAGAAGGTTCAAGAGAAAAAATATACATCGCTGCTTCAAAACAAAGAATTTTAAAATTTTTATCATCACGATAACGATAATCATCAAATTTATCAAAATTATCCGACTTGAAACAAATAATTTTCTTTTTTAAATGTGCAAACCGACTCGCAATTTCTTTATTGAGCAAATGTAAAATAGAATACAAAATCAAAGAAAATACAAAATTCTCTATCTAATAAACTAAGCTAAATAGATCAAGACTGGCCTAGAACAACCCTAGATTCATTCCCACAAGGATTTATGATTTAGGAAAAAAAAAGAAACATTGATACTGTATATTGAAGGTTGAAGGTAGAAGGTTGAAGGTATTGTGTGGCGACTTACTTGGACCATCCAAGACGACCAGCATAAACAATTCGGCTAATGGTGCTTATGGAGTACGTGCGGTAGCATTCGGTTGGTGGTGGTGTAGGCCAAACTCCTAATTCTCCTCAACTTACTCAAAGTTGCACGTGACAGATCATCAAGGACGCGTTAATAACAAATGATATGTCGATCAATTTTCAAGGGAAAAAATAGTGGAGCAACAAATATTACAAAAGTTCACTTGAAAAAGCCAAGTAGCTGCCGGCAGAGAAAGGTCCCAAACCTAAAATCCATCCACCAGGCCTTACTTGGAGTGTAAGCCGGTACTGACGAATTCGGTTTCCCAGGTCGTGACGTTGATTCTCGTATCTTCCACGACTCTACTTTCAAAATATAAAGGGGTTTCCACCGCGGTGACTAAGTGGGAAGTGGACGAACTCTGACAAGGTTGTAGGTTCTAATAAAAGGAAACTCGAAAAGTGTCAAAAAAGATGATAGAACATGAAGGAAAAAAAAAAGCTGCTAATTATGTTAAAAATTTTTTATTGAAAAAAAAAAGATTTTTGTTTTGTATTATAACAAGTCCAATAAACATTTATTTTTTTTGACGTCATATCATATAATAATCATCTTTTAATATGACCTGATACGTGTGTTCATTAATTTCATATTATCAAGCACCAAGCTAGGTATTGTAGGATTATACAATTCAAGTTACTGTATAGTATAAATTTTCGATAATACATAGGATTTTGCCCAACAATCAAGACCTTTACGTGCTTAATTACCGTATGTTGCTTTGGTTCGTAATAATACGTCCAAATATAATGATGTCTTGAGATTAATACGCAAAACTTTGACTATAATTATTTCTAACTTTAATACGTATTCTGCTCAAAACTTATAAAAGCAGGCCCGCTCAAAGGTACCTTGCTGCAACTCAACAGATACGAATAAAATAAATAAAAAAACTTAAAACTCTATAAACATAATTTCTCAACATAAAATGCAAAAAATTACTTTCGATCCCAATTTTTCAATTTTTGATAAAAAGTTCGTTCCCGTTATCCCAAATGAAAGTTCACGCTCTATTGATATGGGACCATTAGAAGGTGATCAATTCTGGCCTAAACAACATAAATCGTCCAATAAGTTGAAAAAAATCATCTCCAAGACATTTAAATCTATTAAACGTAAAGTATTCCGCAAACAAAAAGATATCGCTATGATTGAAGAAACCATGGTTTCTGAAACTACATCGTTTTCAACCGATGAAGATATAATTGAAATTGATGAAATTGATGAAATTATTGATATTTATTCATCATTTCCGGAATCGTTTCCGAATAAAGATGAATCTAACTCGTCTAATATCATCGAATATGATACATCTACTTTAGTCGAAAATTATACCATTGATCATATCGAAAATGATTCTACCAAATGCAATCAAATAGAAACAAAGTTAATCCTTTGTACTCCTTATGAAGGCGCAAAAAGAACTCCTATTAATATCCAAGTGCCGCGCAAAATTTCTTATTGTGAGTTAAGAACGTCAACCGAACAAAGAATTGTTAATCCTTTGAGCGAACATCCCGTTTCTGTTCGAATCGATAATTTTTATGGAGGTTCTATCAACAAACGTGATGAAAGGATATATGATATTGATTATTTAAATTATTTGATTAGCATATTTAATTGATGGCAATTTTAAATTTAGACTATCTTCTATATTTCTCGATTATAAAATAGATAAATAAGAATAAATTTTGTTGAACATGGTTAATGTTTACTCGATTATACAGTAAATGTGTAGATAAGTTTTCATTTTCACATCCTTAAATATTAAATATTTTATCATATTCTTTATAATTTTGTAAAGTTTTATATATATATATAGATGGCATGTATTATTTTAGGTTTGTCCAATAAAAATCACATTGAACAATGCGCGCGTGTATTAATTATTTATTTTGAATTATTCGACAAAATTATTTTGGTTTATTAAATAATACAGTAAATAAGTTCTACATAATATAATTTAATTCCGGAAAAAAACATGGCAAGACATTTTATAGTTATAGAATTTAAACCAAAGTTATTATTTTCTATAAATTTAATTTATATTAATTGAAGTATAAAAATATTTTTTTCATTGGGATTGTTCATAAAAAATTTTTTAAGTTTTAAAAAATAATATCTATAAAAAATAATTAAAATTTTGCATTAACTGTAATTACGAAATTGACATATTGTGATTGGTTAAACTAGAAATACAGTATCTGAATTCCGAAAATTATCTACAGATACAACACTACTTTTTAGAATCGATTCCAATCGGAGTATCGTTAGAAATAAATAAATACATATTGTTACGATGTTACGATGCTAAACAAAAGAACGTATTGTATTTTTTTTTTTTTATTCCTCTTAGATTTGGGAGGTCATCCAAATTGATCTTTGGGCGGAAGAATTGTCCTCTGGGCAAGTTGTCCACTTGGATTTAAGGTATAAAAACGGAGGATTCATAATCGAGTTGTAAAGGAGATGGCATTTATTCTCTAGTTTAGAAATTCCCGATATTCCACTTAGTATAGTCTGTTATTTAGCCGCAACGTCTACTTTTAATAACCGGAAGTACAGAGCGTCGACGTTTAGGCAGTATTTGAACAATTAAAAATCACTTTTTCATTCGTTATAAATATTAACTTGTAAGAATTGAGACCAACAATAATGAATAAAATAAAATTCAGAAAAATTTTTTCCTGGATTAAATAAAATTTTTTCGAAAGTGTAGCATATTAAAAGTATCGCCGCCTGATGAATTTGATGAATTGTTGTTGGAATCTGTAAGATCGTAAGCTTATGTAAATGGTAAGTTATTAAATAATTACTCAAGACTCCGAACTTAAGAATCCTGAAATCTATAATAACATATTTATATTAAAAATAAAATAAATAAAAGAGACTACATAATTCTCTTCAGAATGACCTCAAAAGTTAAAAGTCTCCAATCCAATACTTGCTAAAATATTTCGATCATCTTTTTTCCTTTCTCTGACCAATTAACTACAAAAATATTTTTTTTTTTTAGAAATAAAATAAATATTTCCTTATAACTTACATTATTTGATATCAACCATAGGATTCAGAACTATAATTTAGTACCTTTTTTTTTATTATATATATGCACGATGATTTCCGCTTGACATATTCACAAAAAGTTTTTTTTTTTAAATAAATAAAAACCCTGAACATACTCTGGAAATTACAAAGTACTGATCAAATTTTAGCAAAATTTATCTAATATAATAAAATAAACGATTGAGCGGTTTAATAGCAAATGAAACCTACAAAAATGGCAGTGAAATTAGTAAATTTTCTTTTTATAATTAAAATTTAACAGTAGTACTTATCTTTGATCCGATCCAAGTTTTATTGGTTTTATTTATTGTATATTCACAAATATTTTTAATATATATATGACCTCTTAAACATTATTTCAAAAGAGCAGGAACTTTCGATACATTTTGATAACCACATTATTTACGGGTGATTCAAACTGACCGCAAAATTTCGATAGAACTGAAGATAACCCGGGCTAAAAATTTCATTACCTCATTTCTTTCAACATATACAGTAATTGGTATTACTTTTTTGGTAGTATTCTTTTAGTAACCATTTTACAAAATATGTTTATAGCTTTTATGGGGTTGCTGTTTCGCCAAATAATTGCCGTATAGAAAGTTGAAAATAGTGTACCAATTCAATGTTAAAAAAAAAATAATAAATGCTGTACGTTGGAAACGTAATATAATTAAATCGCCAATGTTATGGTTTTGTTCAGAACCAGCCGATGCAAATTCTGGAGTTGGTTCAGTCAGCCGTTAGACATTTTTCAGTCGACTCAGCCGTCGACTGAGTCGTGACTCTCATTTGAAATTAGCTACCATAATTGTATTATAAAAAAAATTGATTTGATTTTGAAATCTGGATCGCAAGTGTACGTTGAGTGCTTTAGGCTAGGCTACACTACATTTATATCTAGTAATCAAGTATTGCTACTGTATTTGACAAAATCTGACCTTGAACAGATCGGAATTCGTCGTCGGCGTTTTAATTCGTAGAACAAGCAGCTTATGGACGGTTATTGATCTGAAAATTTGAATCTTTAGCATACAATCATGTGATGTGAATTCGATTTGGTTATTTATTTAAATAAATTTGCTGGTCTCATTTAACCCCTGTGGACGTGAATTAAACAACTTATGAAAAACACTTCAATATATATAATTTGGTAATTTCCATTCACTATATATACTTGATTCGAAGAGAATTAAGAAAAGCTGCAGAATTAAAGATCGTGTAATCAAAAATGCTGAACGTGCATTCTTGTAAATTACAAATTCGGGGGTACTATTAAAATAACTAACTGTTTTATTCATTAAATTATTTCGCTTCAACATACAGTATATACATATTTTATTCACTTACTTGGTAATAAGGACATAAGAATTTTTTGTTTATTAAATATAATATTTAACTTTTTATGATAATCTTATCAAAAAAAAAAAAAAAAAGTATTACGCGCAGTTCTTTATGTTTTTAGATTGAAAACGATAGTAAAGGTTGTTAGTAATAATACTCCAAACAATTACTGTAACAATTTTTATTTGTGATCTACAAACTACCGATGATCTACTAGTTTGTGATAGTCTATTTAGATACACAATATTATATCAATTACATTTGTAATTGGTGAATCCGATGATCACTAATCTTAAATTTCTTACATTTCTATAATTTCTATAATATCTATAATTTCTATAATTTCTATAATTTCTCTAATTT